GAAGCTCCAGTAACGCGAGAAGTAGCGACTGGAGGAGAATCGGGAGGTGAATCTGCAACACCGGTTGATCGCGACGTTTTCCGAGCAGCTGAACTCGCCGACGCCTTAGATCGAGCTGATTTTCGAGTCACACGAACGCCAGAAACCATTGTAGCTAACAGATCGTGAGAGAGGAGACGAAAAGGAGCTCAAAACGAAGAAATCGAAGCAAAATCAGAAGAAATTTGAGCTTGATGGCTCTGATACCATATTACAAACCAGAGAAACGAAGAACATGAGAGAGAGAGTTTGTTTTAGAAAGAGAAAGTCTCATTCATTTCTTAATCATGCAACTATACAATTGTTGTGATATATACAAGTATGGTATAACATCTAACCAATCTAAACCGAATAAAGGAGAAATAAGTTAAACCGGTGTATGTACTCCAATAATATACGCGTGGGCTTTTGTTTTTAAAATTGCAGAACAAAAAAATATGATTATAGTTTTTTATTGATTTTTATGTTCATTTTTGTGTGTGTTATTATTTAATGAATAAAGCCAAATCTGCTTTCTATAACTATAATTTTTATGATTAGATTCATCTTTGACTCGAAATATCAATTTTACATTTTTAATGTATAAATATGATTATATTATATATCTACGATCATAATCTTTCACTATCATGAATACATACAACAACAATATACTCCCTCCGTATTTTAATAATTGTCGTTTTAGAATTTTTATTTTTTTGAATTAGATGTCGTTTTCAAATTTCAATGCAAAATTTCTTACTTTTTAATGTTTTATGATGTCATAAAACATTAAAAAGTAATAAATTTTGCATAGAAATTTGAAAACGACATCCAATTCAAAAAAATAAAATTTCTAAAACGACAATTATTAAAATACGGAGGGAGTATGATATATTGATACAATGATATGTAGTTATGTTATTTATGTGGTTTGATTTTTTTTTCTTTTTTTTAGTGTTGTGAAACTTGCCTAACTTAATTCTAAACAAACAATTCTTTGTTTCATGTACTCTCTCGTCATCTAGTACGCCAACCACATCATGATATGCTAGTAATTCTAGTCAAGACTTTAGATCTCTCCCCTTGCATATAGCTATATAAGAGAGACTCTCGTGTTTTAAATTTTATGGTATGTCTAACGTCTCAAAGGACCATTACGTGAAAAAATTTATATGTCAATGTTACCAACTTATCATAACACACCAAATGAAAAGAGAGAATGTCATATGATAAGTCATATTCACAAAACGTAATAATAAGAAAATATTCAAGGTAAAATAACTAAATTAATATGATGTTAGGTATCAAACATCTAAACTACAACACAAATAATTTTTTAGCCATTATCAAGTAATGACCACTGATATAAATTTTATTAATAAAATAAAAAAAGTAGAATGAAAGTAATGCTTGATATATTAGTATGATTTTATTTTTTTAAAAAAATCAATTATGAGTGAGATTAATGGAAGATTTAATTCAACAAAATTTTTTTGATTTTCTCTCAATTAATTTGACTATTTTTTTTTAATTAATGTAAAATGACACATGTCATTTTTTTATGCGATGATGTGACACTCATATGGAGATAGTTGGCCAACTTTTATATATATGATTTTTGTAATGTTATTTAATGTGACGTCCCTTTGTTACTATCAGAGTATCTACTATAATGATATTGTGGGCTGGAACCTTGCATGGTGACACGCTTCTGCTGGCATCAAATAAGCTTCCGCCATCCCAGCCACAACATGTTAATTTTACTGCGGATTAATATAGATTCCGCATAATTAAACACAAAACAAGATTATGATTTAACATGATGAACTGTATTAAATCCGTTCAATCCTAGATTACATCATCAATCTCAGCATATTAGAAAAAGGACTTGCAAGATAAACCATTTCAATTCCATTATACATTTAAAGGTTTAAATGTTTTATTCTTAAGACTTAGGATTTAGTATTTATGGTTTATGTTTCTCCAAAATCCATTACATCAAATTTGTCAAAATTTTACATTAAACTAGCACGTCTCGTAAATCCTTCCGTATGGAGCTCGACAACTAAGTATAACACTCGCTTTTGGGAATAACACCATTGAATTTTGCTTGTAAGATTCTTAGGAAGTCTTATTAAGAAGTATAACATAATCTACGCGCATAACAAGCTGTATAAGTGGGAGACTTAAAAAAATAATGCTTTCAAGGTCGAAGTTATAGAATCAGATTTAGAAGAGGGAACTGAAATCATGTTCGTAATGTGAAAACTATCAAAACTCTGGAAATAACTTTTGGTTAGTGTGGTTCATTCCCTACAACATCAAAGAAAATAATTATAATATATATATATATATATATATATTATGAAATATATATATATATATATAAATAAATTATTATATATATATATATATATATAATTTGTTTTGAAACAATATATGTGCAACAATATCAAAGACATGAAAGCTAATCATCAAAAACAAAAAGATCACATCGCAACTCACAAGCACTACATCTTCAAAGATAAACCAACTGCGGCAGCTCATCTGTTTAGATTTGTGATGTGATGTAGCTCATATGTTGAAGATTTGTGATGTAGTTAGTTTTGGTATGTACAAAATTTTACCTTTAATAATCTTTGCTATTTGTTCCACTGCTTTATATTCAAAACAATGAACCAACTTGTGATCATTTTGATGTGTACAAAAATTGATCTTTCATTAATATTTGCTATTTGTTCCACTATTTTCATTCTTTTTCTTTTTTTCATTCTATTCTAAAAGCTATGGAACCAAAATCTCATAAGTAGCAGTGTTGGATCGACTTGGTGGCACAAATATACACAAGGTGGAAAACATTGAATTATTGTTCAAAGAATTATGAGCATAATTATAAATATCAAAGAGATATTATTGAAAATATTGAATATTTACATGCAACTTTAGAAATTATTAATTGAAATCCGAAAATAACCGCCCTTTCCCACGCCCACACTGTGCCTCGATCTAACCCACATAAAACTCTTATGTTATCAACTCTTACCCCCGTTACCAAGACTGCGTGCATGTCTACAAACATAAAATCTAGGTGCATTGGTCCACGGTAAATTCCCTATAAAAATATATGATCATTTAACAATATGATAGTTATTCACATTTTATATTTAAATATGTAATAAGAAAGATATACCCTTTGATATTTTCATAATCCGGTTGAAAGGTTGGCATTGTCGCTCCCAGCGGTTGTGTTTGCAAATGATGAGAGTTTTTTCTATGGTAGGGATCGACTTGGTGGCAGCAATATACCCTAGATGGGGATTAGATAGAACCCGAGGTGGTAGAAACTCTTTGCACCCATCGAAAGGTTGGTCTACTGCTTTTTGAAAACCTTGTTGATAACACACGTCTGGAAACAGAAATGTTGAATCTATAACAGAAATGCGCCTTATTGTTTCAAAGCTTTCCTTTCTCTGAAAACACAACATCTACAAGATCTTGATACCAGTACTCAATCTTGTTTTCATTTTGTTTAATCCATTGTATCACAGTGACTAATTCAGCAGTCACCATCGCCCAACATATATCTACATTTCATCAAAGTTTTTTTAGTTATCAATTTCAGGAAAAACAAAAACAAGTTCATAAGTAAAAACAGCTTAGAATGTGAAACTCTACCGTGTTCTCCCTGATCTTTCACTTGACCATATATAAAAATGTCTCAAGTCCACCTTCGCACTACCTTTATTGGTCGATATGTGAAAAAGCAGAAAACAACCGTGATAAGTACATTACTTTGCTCATGTAGTTACGAAGTAAAAATCATTCAAACCCCAGAAATTAACAAAAAGATACATAACAAACTCGTTTGAGGAATATAGAGATTCAATCAAGTTAACATCATTACCCGGTGTTTTCTCAAGCGAGTGTAGACTACATCAATAGTCTCACCTTCTACTTTAGGTTTCACCACTTTGTTCTTCACTCTGAGTATCTCAAATTTTCCATCAGGTCAAGTTTAAAAATCTCGAGAAATGTTGAAAGTGGGATGTAGATTTTTGTTAATTACTGCCCAATCTTCTTTACATTTTCTCGATGTAGTAAAAAAAATTAAAAATGAACTCTACCAAAAATTAATACAAATTAAGAAAAACAAACAATACTAGAGTCATATTTCACTAAATGTCTTTACATATAATATAAATTACTATCATATATAGTAGCCAGGGCCGTCTCAAATTTATTGGAGACCCAGTGCTAATGTATAAAAATTAACCTTTAGTTAATATAGTTTTTCTAATAGTGAAATTTTTGGACCCTAAACTCTAAAGAAAATTGAAAAAAATTTTAAGGACTCTGTGCTTTTGCTCCGGTGGCACACCCTCAGAGCCGGCACTGATAGTAGCCAGTCTTGTTTCGTTTCAATTTATGTAGCTCTGCCAACATAGCTAAACATACTACTATGTAACGATTTGATCGATTACATATTAAGTTGTATATAACTTTTCTTTTCTCTACACGCTAAATAAATAAGGAAAGAAAAGTTATATTTTATTAGTTATATTTATTATAATTTTTTTGAATTGATTTGGATTAGTTTGAAAGATGTTTTTTTTTTTGGATAAATTTCTTTTTTCTTAATTGCTAAAATATTTAAAACGAATTTCTTAGGATTCTTTATTTTAATTTCGTTTTAAGAGATAATATTTTATCATGAGATTTTTATGAAAACAAAATTCATTAGATTAAATTTAGAAATTAGCTACAAACAAAACAAGTATAAGGAGTCTTGTAGCTAATTAATAAGTTTTGTAGATAATTATAAAAACATTATTAAGATATATACAAAATCTTAATATTGTTTTTATATATCTTATTTTTTTTTATATAATTAGCTACAAACAAAACGAGTATACGATATTGATAGAATATCCCTAGAATATATCTCCCTATATATTGATGGTTTTACCCTCTCCACATATCCATTCGACATTGAAACATCTCACCATCGTCGAGGTAATTTTTTTTTTATATGTGCTCTGTTAGTGTCGACATCTCACCTTCGTTGGGTTCAATTCTCCTTCCTATATTCTATCAGATATAACCAATATATATACACCAATCTCTCTTCATCATTTACAATCATTAATCTCTTTTCGTCATTTATAATCATAGCACTAACAACAACAAAAAAAACGCTTTGATCTCAGTTCAACCTTAATCCTTGAGAACCATAAAGATGACGACGGAGTACTACAAAGAAGACGAAGGGATTCATTTTGATCCAACGTACGAAGAAGTCATCCACGAGTATCTTAAACCGAAGCTAAGAGGTGAAGACTGTGGAGACTTCATATTGATGAAGGATGTTTATGCCAAGGAGCCATGGCTGCTGGACCATCCCAACAATTCTTTTTTCAAGGAAGACGAATGGTACTACTTCTCAACAAGGACTCAGATCTCCGAGAAGAAGATTGGTCGTGGTATCTACCCGAAGCGGAAGATAGACAACAACGACGGCATCGACCGCGGGAACTGGAGGATAAATGCGAAAGAAGATATCATCGACAAGGATACAGGGGATATCATTGGGATCAAGAAAAACCTAACGTATAAGGGCACCAACACGAACAAGAAGCAGAAGAGAGGAGACGGTGCTTCTGCTCCAAGCAGCGAAAGCGGCTGGATTATGGACGAGTTTGTAATTGTGTTACCGAAACCGGACGAAGATAAGTTTCAGGAGCTAGTCGTCTGCAAGATTCACAAGAAAAAGGAGTCCAAGAAGGACAAGAAGGACCATCAGCATGAAGCTTCTTCTTCCTCAGAGCAGCAGCCGATCAAGAAAAGGAAGTCCAAGAAGTCCAAGAAGGAGCATGAGTCTGTTCTAGCTGCGTCTTCCGAGCAGCAGCAACCATTATTATGCGGTTGTAATGAATCAGAGATTCCGAAGATAGCATCATCTCCTTGTTCTGCTGCGGAAACAGAGAGAAACGGGGAGCAGAGTGGAGAAGGAAACATGGTTCACCAAACAGAGAAGAATGCCATGGAGATGACACGGGAAGAAGAAGGAGATTGGATTGCCGATGGTGATATATTTGTAAACCGCCGATATCGTGATCAACCATACTCTTGGATTTGAGAATCAGTAGACAAGCCGATGAATCAGTATGAAGCTCTCTACTTCACGAAAACCGTTCAACATTCTTGAAGAGAAGATTTTAGATATCGTAGTTAACTCTTCTTTATTTATAATTGTATCGTGAGATGATGACTCTGCTACAGTCAATTTGTTTAGTAAATTTAATGTTACGCTTTGTTTAGAAACTTTCATGAATAAATCATACCATTCTTTTTTTTTTGGTTTGATAACTGATTGTGCATTGAAATGTAAAAGAGACAAGTACAGGAAGTAGAGAGGAAGCCAAGTATACACGTAAACATTGTATGAGGATATCTTTGAAGAAGAAGGAGAGAGCTAGTGAAGAATGTCACTGAAGCTTGGGATAAATATGTTCACAGTGAAGAATGTCACCGAAGAATCTTGGGAAATATGTTCCCAGTACGAAGTCTGCATCTAGTGCCCACAAACTTTGACTATTCCACTCCCCTCAAAAACCTACAATATAAAGCACAACCATCTGAAAAAACCTATTTACTTGAAAGTGCTATAATTTCAAACATTTCTTTCTGAATTTCTCCGCCTTTTGTACCATATATATTGTGTCGAGTCGAAGCACTCGGATATTTGAGGAATTTCGGTTCGGTTCGGTTACCTTTCGGTTCGGTTTGGATATTTAAATAGATAACCGTAACTAACCAAACTTTTATTACGTTCGGTTTTGTTCGGGTTTTTACCCAAAATAACCAAAATTTACCGAATATAACCGAAACTAACCAAAATTAACCAAAAAAAATACAAAAAGAAAATACAAAAAAAAAGAAAAATATTAAAAAGAAAATTAAAATTTGATTCAATTTTGTAAAAGAGTATTTTACTTTGACAAATATAACAAAGAATATTTGGATATTTTGATTATTTAAAGTATTTGATTGTTTTGATTCTAAAAATAATTAATATGTTGAGTTTATAATTATAGTTTTGGATATTATCTTGGGTATCTTATAGGTTTTTGGATATTTCGGTTAACCGTTTGGTTATCGGTTCGGTTCGGTTCGGTTTCGGTTAGTTTGGATATGAGATTTTACTAACCATTCGGTTATTTTAAAAACATCGGTTCGGATATGGTTCGGTTTTTTTCGGTTCGGTTCGGTCGGTTATTTGGTTAGCGGTTTTTTTTGCCCAGGCCTAGTGTCGACTATCCATTGAAAGGTAAGCATTTGCTGAATTTTACGTATTCAAACCGCAACTGATCCGCACAGAACTCACTTGTAATTGTTACAAGTAGAGCTTTCGTAGATTCTCATTTACCAGTTTTCTCATCAGTATTGTTGGTAGAAAAGATCCATGGACCCATCTCATTTGTCACTTTGCTGCTCAGTAACATTAAACCGTCTCCCTATAGTATGAGGAATTCCCGGGGTTGAACCCCGGAGTGTCAGAGCGCAAGAGCTGTGGGCAAACCACTGGGATATTGAACTCCAACAATCCTTTCCCTTCACATTTACTTTCTCGGTTATTATATGAATTTCACCCGGCATTCATCTTCAAAAAAAGAAAAGTCATTAGATCACAATCCAATAAGTAAACTATCAAGAGATGTCCAAAAGTCAGAACCCTGTCTTGTGGTGTTCTTGTTAATGTTTAATGACTGAAAAGTCTGAAATAAAGACATTTCTTCTGATTTTGCTACCGTTGAGAATCTATGCTTTTTGTGCCAAGTCAAATTATTGCATCTTACCAAAGAGAGGTAATCGCAGAGCAGAGTAGGTCTGAGAAGTTACATGGTCATCTGCAGGAGACTTCGACAGTTATACACATAATTTAAAACAGTGCCCTCTCAGCATCATTGAGCAAGTCAAAGAAGTTAAAACTACATGCAACTAGCATTTCTTGATTTAGAATATGTTTTATGATAACTTGTTCAAACTACTATTCCAAAGCTGAGAAAAAAGAGATATGTGCACGTATGTAAAATAACTAGTTTAAAGATAGAATTTCCAAACTGAAAACATTTGACCCTGACTAATTAAAACCTTATTTATCCACAGCTTCTCATAATGTCAATATATGAAAGTCAGCTTAGTTACTTTTTTGAGTAGATTTAATTACTGCATTTGCCACAAACATGGTAGATATACCTCATTGAAGGTGATTAGGTGAAAACAAATCAGATTACAGCTTAAACCTTCTGTCTCATGTATATTCCATTAGCTAGACAGTAACAAGCAAAGATGCAGAACAATAAAAGCACAGAGCATTGTAACCAAAACTTGACTTGATGATAAGACTACCAAAGTAATTAACCCAAAACATTGTAAGAAACATATAATGATGACATAGGCACTGATCTATTACCAATTCAATAGGAAAGAATCTTTCTTGGCTTTTCTTTGATAGTGTCTTCCATGTAAAGGTCAACTCAGGGTAATCAGTAGTTGGAAGACATAATTCTCATGGAAAAGAAAAAATGGTGCAGAAGAATCTGAGATTCACAACAAGCTAAGGCGGGAGAGAAGATCATTGTTGTTCTAGATGGCTGGGGTTCTAGAATCTTTTTCCTGGATAATCCTTTGTATCCATGTGGTGTCTTTGGTGCTAGCTCTGGATGGGGATCAGTTTCTGCACTATAACTTCAGTCAAGCAGACCTGCATCTTGACGGCATGGCAACTATCGATGATGGCCGATTGCATCTTACAAATAATACAACTAAGAGCACTGGTCATGCGTTCAACAAAACCCCTATGCAGTTCACAGCGTCATCTTCCTTTTCAACAGAATTTGTCTTTGCAATGTTGCCATTGCAAGGCGACGGTCAAGGAATGGCTTTCGTGGTATCTCCTACCAAAGACCTCAGGTATGCCGGCGCTGCAACTTCAGATTTAGGGATTTTCAATAAAACCAATGATAACAAAACTGAAAACCATATCCTTGCTATAGAGCTTGACACTAATGATAGCTCTGAGTCATTTGACAAAAGCGGTAACCATGTGGGGATTGATATAAACAGTATAGTCTCAGTTGAATATGCGAACGCTAGTTACTTTAATGATACACAGGGAAAGAATATAACTCTGTCGCTTGCTAGTGGTAAAAGTATTCTGATCTGGATAGATTATGATGGAATAAAGAAACTACTCAATGTAACGTTAGCTCCAGTACCAACTCCAAAGCCAGTTTCGTCTCTCTTTTCAAGATCCATCAAACCACGGGTGCCACTCTTGTCAAGATCCATCAATCTTTCAGAAATTTTCAATGAGACGATGTATGTAGGTTTCTCAGGATCCACAGGCACAGTCAAAAGTGACCAATATATCCTTGGATGGAGTTTCAAGAAAGGTGGACAAGCAGAAAGCCTTGACATCTCAAAGATTTTGGATCCACCTAATCGACCTCCACCACCACCCCTTCAGCCAACCTCGAGGTCTAAAGACTCTAAGAATATTATAATCATAAGCGCTACTGTAACATCAATTGCTTTTCTGTTGCTGTTGGGAGGAATTTTGTATCTTTATAAAAACAAGAAGTACGCGGAGGTGCTTGAACAATGGGAAAATGAATATAGTCCCCAAAGGTTCTCCTTTAGGAACCTCTACAAAGCAACCAAAGGTTTCAGGGAGAATACGCTACTTGGGGCAGGAGGTTTTGGAAAAGTCTATAAAGGAGAACTTCCTTCAGGTACACAAATTGCGGTTAAGAGAGTCTATCATGATGCAGAACAAGGGATGAAACAGTATGTCGCAGAGATCGCTAGTATGGGAAGGCTTAGGCACAAGAACTTGGTTCAGCTTCTTGGTTACTGCAGAAGGAAAGGTGAATTGCTCTTGGTGTATGACTACATGCCAAACGGAAGCCTTGATGACTACTTGTTCAAGAAAAACAAGCTGAAGGACCTCAGTTGGTCACAGAGATTGAATATAATCAAGGGAGTAGCCTCTGCCCTTTTGTATCTGCATGAGGAATGGGGGGAACAAGTTGTACTACATAGAGATATAAAAGCTAGCAACATTCTTTTAGACGCGGATCTAAATGGACGGTTGGGAGATTTCGGGCTTGCAAGATTCCATGATCGTGGCGAGAATCTTGAAGCAACGCGTGTGGTAGGAACCATTGGCTACATGGCACCAGAGCTTACAGCAATGGGAGTGGCCACTACTAAAACCGATGTCTATGCTTTTGGATCTTTCATCCTTGAGGTGGTCTGCGGGAGAAGGCCAGTAGAACCTGATAGACCACCTGAGCAGATGCTTTTACTTAAGTGGGTTGCCTCTTGCGGGAAAAGAGATACTTTGATGGATGTTGTTGACAGTAAACTAGGAGACTTTAAACCTGAGGAAGCCAAGCTGCTTCTGAAGCTAGGCATGCTTTGTTCACAGAGTAACCCGGAAAGTAGACCTAGTATGAGGGACGTAATAAAATATCTGGAAGGAAATGCCACTATTCCAAGCATATCATTTGATACAGCTGGATTTGGTATGCCCAATATAAGCAATGAAACGATAACACAAATGACAACCACCTCCTCATCAGCCAATTTCTCTTTTGAAGATGTTACAATCCTATTTGGCGGTCGTTGAAGTCTGCATCACAAGCTGCTAAACTTACAAGAAAGCTATTTGTTATTGCTACAATGTTGTGTCTTTTAAGTGAATGATTGTATATGGAATTTTCTTTCTTTTTATGCCAAAAACATTGTGCCTTTTGATGTAAATGATTTTATTGTGATGTGTTGTTGTTCGCAAACTGTGCAAGCGTACTGACATGTCTACTGTTCCAATATAGCTACTCGAAAATGTGAACAGCAATATGACAGAAGCCCACGTTTGAACCCAGACACCACTTGTGTCCAAGATCACTTGGCTAAATATGTTCACAATACAAAGTCTGCATCTAGTTCTCACAAAAAAATTGAATATTCCACCTTCCTCACATATATATACATAATTTAAAACAATGCCATCATCAATGAGCAAGTCAAAGATGTTAAACTACATGCAACTAGCATTTCTTGATTTAGAATATGTTTTAGAGTAACTTGTTCAAACCACTATTCCAAATCTGAGAATAAGAGATATGAGTACGTATATTGGATAACCTAGTTTATCATAGAATAGACAAACTAAAACATATGACCCTGACTAGTCAAAAACCTCATCTAACCACGCTTTGTCATATATATCAATAGATGAAACTT